CATCTTCTGCGGATCAGTACAAAGCGAGGATATAAAGTCGAAAACAGACATTACAAACTGTCTTTTCTGAACAATGTTTTTTTGTATTTTACCTATCATTCTTCAATTTTATATTAGAAGGAGTTAGAGACAGTAACTATATTAAACCTGGGCACTTGGCAGCTAGATGGAAAATTCTAAATCTCTAATCACTAATCTGCCTTTCTACCATTAATGAATTGTTTATTACTAATAAAATCTCCTTGGTTAAACTTTACAAAAGAAGGAATGAGGAAATAAAATAAAACATGCAAGAATAGTATCCAGGCGCTGAATAAAATGGGTCACCAGAACTAGTATCTCCATTGGAAGATTTTTTTCCTAAGTTCCTGTGCTGATGACAACCCAACATTTGGGATTTTCATTCACTTTCAGTGATAACAGTTACCAGAACAAATAGGTAGGGTGAATCTCCCTAATGGGGACACAGACAGCAATAAAAACCTGGCAGGTCTTCTTAACCCTCTCCACGCTATCCAAAACTAGAAAATAAAACGTTTTGCTTCAGTTGCACTTTAAGTCTGCTGTGGGCGGAGAACACACTGCATTTTTGTGGACTGAGTGTTCTCAACCAGGCTCCATGTATTTTGGTAACTACTCAGCCACTCCCACATCTCTACAACATAAAGGCTCATCATTCTGTATTCTAATAAAAGAAGTAGAAAGGGTCTTTGAGACAACACAGGAAGTGCAGACAGTACACAGGGCTCTGAAATTCTGACCACAGTTTTTCTTTTGCACTCATGAAGCAGATATATTGAATTGCTTCCAATGGTTTTTTAAACATGCCAAATTTGAGCAAATAGGAAAAGTTAATTGTTAGGGTTTATGTACACTTTAAATATAACATTGAAGTATTGTTTATACCTTTAGGTTGTTATACCTTACAGAAAAAAAATACCTATTGATCCTGTTCGAAATGCAAAGCTGTCCTGCACACTCTGCAGTGTTATCTCAAGCAGCCTTATTAACCTTGCACAGGTTACTACTGTGAACTACAAAACTCCAAGCCCCTTCATTATGAAGATGAGGAGATGTGGAGGTGTTGTGCAGTCTTAACACACTTCCTGTTCTAGGGTGACAATGCTGCTCCTCCATAGGTACAGTACAATGAATGAGTGTTCCCATTCTAGGAGAGTCAGGAAGTGTGTTACTGGCAGGATCACCAGGTGAAATTAAAGGAGAAAAGCCTGAATAAAATGCAGCCACCACATTTAATGACTGGTATAAGAGTTTTGCTCTTGGGTTTAGATACACTTCAAGATAACACTCTAAGATAACATTCCCCGTACTTTTTCCCCATGCTGGAAGACTTTATGAAATAAAAAAGTTACACTATGAACTTACCCTGAATAACAATAATTACAACAGCCGAAACCACAGCAGCAATAATCATCAACGCAAATATAATGCTGGAAATGGCTATGATGATGTTGCGATGCTTAGAGACTTTCATTGGAAGACCAGATGTCGGGGAGCTAAATAAAAACAATGTTAAACACACAAATGTCTTATAGACAGATAAAACATAACCAGCAAAACATGTCATGAATATTAGTCATTTATACTAATTTAAATATACATCTTTAATTCCCCTTCTAAAGGCGTTACTGAAAAAGCAGTGAAAAAGAAGTAGTGAAATCCCAACAGAACTTTCAACTCAAAAGTATACTTCTACTTTTGCAATCAAGTTGGCATAACACCTATTTTATATTTGTTACATGCTCTCATTCAAATCACATCATTTAAACACTTTTCAAATTGCTGTTTGCACAATACAGGCTCTATTCTGAAATAAAAGTTGTTCTCTGTACTGAGTTTTGCTTTGGAATGCAAGGGGGTTGGGCAGGTTAATGTTAACATAATTAACTCTCTCTGTACTGTCCTGGCAGATCTCATTATCAGTTATAAACTGGATTTGAACAATGTCTGTCCTAACAAAGAGTTAAAGATCTAGAAGCATTGTATGTCAATCAGAGGAAGCTCAGTCTGTCCTTAGTGTTTCTTTGGGGGCAGCCCGTGTTTCCTGTCACTGGTAGGTAAGAAGCTTGGAAACGCCTGCCACACAGACATATCTAAAAGGTAAGAAATATGTTTTAAATTATTTTTCGGTATGCTGTGTGAACGACATAACCATCATATAGAGGGGCTTTCTTGAATTTGACGGTAAAAGTGGAATTACACTTTAAATTAGCTAAATGATTTCCAGGTGCATGAAAACAAACTGTTTGAAAAGTCTAACGTTAATTCACGTGGGGTGTTCTGGGATTTCTGCTGCAAGAACCTGCATCCAGTGACAATCATCTATCCCAAACTGCATATAAATTGTACCATGTATGCTATCACTCTGTCTTTAACTTCAATGGGTACATCAGTCATATCTGAACGGTAACAGATTTCTACCGCAGGAGTCCATAGGTTCTTGCAGCAGGAATCCAAGAACCTGGCATAAGTCCCCATATGAATGGGGCCTTAGGTCGGGTTCCATCTTTCATGGTGCATTAACATTGTGCATTACCGTACGTTGCATTAAAGCGATATTAATCCTTCATTTTTTTCTTGTTATTATTATTACGAGGGCCAGACTTACTTAAACTCACTTTTTTCTTTTTTAAATTATTTTACTCCCTCATTCACTAGTTGTCCCCAAACTGCTAACCTCCCCACACCCCCCGAACCCTCCGGCTGCTGAGGAGACACCTGTGTGTGCACATTCATGGCTGTGCCTGCACCAAGGTGCATCTATAGACACACAAAGTGTTCGCCAAGCCACACTCCCCACTCTCACAGTCACAGTTTGACTGAAGGCAGAAGAAGCCAATCACTCCTCTTCCTTCTACCCTCCTGCAGGATCAGGAAGTAGAACATCATGTATCCTATTGGTCCCGGCAGAGGAGACAAGTGACCACAGGTATGTTTGGAAGGGATAGTAATACATAGAAAAGTACTGGGCGTTTTTCTTACCCTAAGGCAGAGAATGCACTAAGATAAATAAAATCCATACCTTAAGTACTACTTTATTTAAATGGGTTGCCAATGCACCCAATGTGGCCAAACCCCTACCGTGCTCTGCGTTCTTTAGTACCATGCTCTGCATTCTTTAGTACCGTGCTCTGCGTTCTTTTCTACCGTGTTCTGCGTTCTTTACTACCATGCTCTGCGTTCTTTACTACCATGCTCTGCGTTCTTTACTACTGAATGGTGCTCTCTTTACTACTGAGCTCTATGCTCCTTACTACTGAACTGTATGTGATCTCAATTATGAAAACCCTTTCTGAGTAATAGTATCATGTGTGTAGTTCCATGTATAGCGATCAGCAGGGCACTTTAAGAGGCTATTTCAAGCCTTCCTTCTGCACCATAGCATTCAGAAAGGCTCAGCTGAGCCACAGAGGAGACGCTTGAATGAAATGATTTTAAGCCTCACCTCCGTGGCGGATCAGTATCTTTAGACCCGCTTCTGTGCTCTTTTCTTTTGGTGCGGTGGTGCCCCTCCTGATACACCATAGGGGTGAGGCTTGAAATCACTTCATTCAAGTCTCTCTTCCATGACAGATTAGAAGGGACGCTGCTGGGAAAATAGAAGGGAGCCCAGAAGCGGCTCTTAAATTAATAAAGCAGCACTAGAGAATGAGGCGATTTTAAGCCTCATCTCTGCGGTAGATCAGGAGGGGCGCCGCCGTGACAAAAGAAGAAGAGACCCCTAGAAGTGTGGGTTGGGAGTCTTTGCTCCAGGTGACGGATTGTCTAGCTTCGCCACTGACTGCCATGCACCAATGTGTGCAGTGCAGTACCACACGTTACAGCAATGTAGTGTGATCCCGGCTTTACAGTTCATTTTCTGATTGCATCCAAAAAGTGAAAAGTGCTAATCTGTATAAAGCATGTCAGGGGTGACCCCTGTTGCCTAGAAAACTAGAAAAGCTGTTGCCTCCAGGGTGCGGTCAGTTGTTTTCTTTACTTTAAAGAAACAATTAGCATAATGCTGTTACCATTTACACCGCAATGCATTGAAATGTTAATGATAATGGTCAGAGAAAGCCTCAGGTTAGACGTTTTCATCAAATGGCTTTAGTAAACTCAATAGGGAGTATTCATTTGTTTCACCCTGTCCTTAAGCCACATAGCAACCCCATGAAGGCAATTCTGTAATCACCCGACATCATTTACATAATTCATTACACAAACTATACCATGACAAAAATGAATTAGCATAATAAATACCTTGATACAAATACATCCACCAAAGCAGAAGTAAATGCAAAGTTCTGTCACAGTTTTTATTTTATCCATATATGCGTGACAAATATTCGAAGACTAGTTTTCCACCACCAGTTATTTTGTTTACTAGATGCATGGGCATACAAAATAATCTTTTCATCTGCCATTCGCCATAAAAATTGCTCTTACGTCAAACACAGTACCTTTGGCATATAAAAGTCTGAATAGATTTTTTATGAGTACAAGAAGTGATATAGTTGTTACATTATGCGATGGGTTGATTTATTATATATTAATTGTATTTATTAATCTTGTTTATTAAGAGTATGAGACTATTCACTTAGCAAAATCAGTGCTCAGTGAAGTTGTGTTCACCTTAATCATACATGTGTGTGCAAAAAAAAACCCCAAAACATTTAAATACCCTTGGCACATATTGAAAGCGAGCATAGCCTCATAGCTTTGCCTCATTTATCAAGCTAAGAGAATGTTTTCTTTTCCAAGTAATGATACATGTCTTGGAAACATTGAAACATTCTCTTTTCAAGTAATGAACACTCAAATTGCTAATTAAAAGAGTGTCTACTCTTTTAGTAAATGAGCCCCATGACATTCTTGATATGACCTTTGTTCTTTGTGCCTCTGAATATTTCATAAAATAGAAAAAAAATAACTAAAGTAATATTAAAGTCAAATGTTTTAATCTATCAATTTCAAATGTTATTTAAATCACTTATGCCTAAAGTATAAAAGTTTTAGCTTTCTGCAGAATTAGATGGTCCCCGGAGCACTGTCCCTGATATCCTGTTTTAGAGTGGCTTCTTTCCTTTCCAGGGTCCTATGGAGCCACCCTTGTGTGTGCCACAAACACACAGACATAGCAAGGTAAAACACTCCTCTCCCCCTTATCGGATATACAGTTAATCGGGGTTGAAATTCCCAGATTATTTAATTATCGGTAGAATGTACCAATATTACCGATAATAAACACTGTGCAAATTTGACAGGGAAATTCGCACAGTGGGCGCGGCTGTCTGGCCGTCATCCCTAGATTAGCTGATTGAAGGAGCCGGTCAGTAAATCTATGTAGGATCAGAGCCGGAAGCCTTAGAGCTCCCTCGTGCAGCTGTCCATGACCGAGTGCCCGTCTTACTGTCAGTCATTTTGGTGTCACCCCCACTGATGGTGCCACTCGGTGTGGCCTACACCCCCTGCACTCCCCTTGTGACGCCACTGATTGCCAGGATTACCAGGTGAAAATAAAAAAGGGAAAAAAGGTCTGCAAAAATGAAAACTAATGCAGCAACCACATCTACAGGTGAAACTCGAATAATTAGAATATCATGCAAAAGTAATTGCAGTAAGTGCTGCAAAAGGGGCCCAAACCAAGTACTGAGTACATATGCATGCTTGTACTTTTCAGAGGTCCGATATTGTTCTATGTACAATCCTTGTTTTATTGATTGCATGTAATAATCTACTTTTTTGAGGTTGTGGATTTGGGGTTCTTGGGGTTTTCATGAGCTGTAAGCCATAATCATCACAATTATGACAAATCACGGCTTGAATTATCTTGCTTTGCATGTAATGAGTCTATCTCATATATTAGTTTCACCTTTTAAGTTGCATTAGTGAAATAAATGAACTTTGCACGATATTCTAATTATTCGAGTTTCACCTGTAAGGACTGGTAGGCTGTAACATGATACATTTTTGTTCTTGGGTTTTAATACGCTTGAAGTTTTTAAAATTGTTTTCTAATCCTTCCCTACTCTATCCAAACCTAAAAAAAAAGTTTAGATACTCTTTTTAACTATTCACAGCTTTAACGTTACTTGTTTGTGGGATGCATTAGGTATTCTCTTATGCACTATGGACAGTATATAGTTTTCTTCTTTCGTTTTTCAATATCTTGTATGTAATTTGGCATACATTGGAATATTACCTAAAAAAGACAAAAATATATTATGGCCTTTGTCATCCAGTTGTACAAATTTCAAGTAAAAGAAAAACAAATATAATTCATACAAAATCACAGCACTAAAAATTCCAAACAAATTGGATAAAGAGCACAATAACCAGCTGATTATTAACTCCATTTGGCTATGAAGATAACTTGCAAACATTAAGAAAAAAAAAAGCTAGGAACTGAACACTGTTCCCTAATTAGCTTATGAAAGGCCTGCCATTCTGAATGGGATGAAAGCATTGTACCTAGCTAATAATTAACACAAAGCAGAAAGACAA